GCCTGAAACAGCACAGTACGCACGTTCCTACGCGGCCGTGCAAAGGTATAACGTGATTTCAATAGAAATAATGGTAAAGCTGTAGTGACGAAAGAAAAAAAAAGGACTCAAATAGGTACTATTTGACCCCCGTGTCCTTCCTTTTCACACTGGTGGTCCCCAGATAGAAATAACTGAATATGTTGAAACGAAATTCTGATATGTTTTCTACAGTTTTACTACAAAGTGCAACATGTAGTTTGGTGGTTAAATCGCACAGTGCGGATCGTTGTTTATGGACGTAATGTTCATGGACGTAAAAGTGTTTCATACTGTTATGGGAACAGGTGGCACTGACTGACACTTCCGCGTTTAGAAGGCACATAGCAGGAAAGCCATGTAAACGCAGACTCACTAAATGAATACTTCATCTTCGTATTCGCTGTTGATAACGGTAACTTACCTGAAATGGACTATATTTTTCATAAGCAGACTGACCCTTTTGCTGTATCTGAGAACGGGATATTTCATCTGCTGCTTAATTTAGACGCCAAGAAAGCCACGGGTCCTGATGATATTCCTAACATTTTTCTTGTAAGATATGCGGAACTATTAGCCAAATATTTTTGCATCCTTTTTAATAAGTCACTATTAATTAGTGGTCCTCCAGAAGACTGGAAAATTGCCAAGGTTATCCCAGCGCATAAATTAGGAAATGCAGATAATTTCGCCAACTTTCGTCCCATATCTCTAACATGCACTGTATGCAAAATACTAGAACATGTCATCCTCAAACACATTAAGACATTTCTTGAGAGCGAAAACATTTTATCGCGGTACCAGCACGGCTTTAGGCGAGGTTTATCTACTGTAACGCAGCTAGTAGAACTAACGCACGATGTGTAAAACTGTCTTATTAATCAGAAACAAATTGACCTAATCTTCCTAGATTTTTCGTAGGCCTTTAATATTGTATCTCATGTAAAACTACCCCAAAAGCTGGAAAATGTGCTTGGGAATGCAGTCATTCTTATTTGGGTTAAAGATTACCTAACTAATTGCATGCAGTACGTAGAATTCAACAATAAGACATCCGCAATCACACCGGTTTTATCAGGAGTTCCTCAGGGTTCTGTTTTGGCTCCTATTCTCGTCCTTATTTTTATTAATGATTTACCATCACGAGTACCAGTTAACCTAAAGCTATTCACAGATGATTGTGTGATTTACAGCGAAGTTAGCACAATTCAAGATAACGTAGCTCTACAAAACGCCTTGTCGAAGGTATGCGATTGGTGCGAGGAGAATCAAATGCTGTGGAACTACAAAAAGTGTTCGCTCCTGACTGTAAGCAGGAAAAGAAACATTTTCAAAATTCTTTATATTATTGTTACGCACAAGGAGGATTAGGACGTATACGGCTGAAGGAGCCGTTTATTTTGGCCACGAAGACAAGCGCCGGACCGGCCAACAGGTTGACGATCGCAGTGTCGTCGTATTCCTTCTTTCTCCAGCTTGGGGCAGCCAGCATGTTCACGCTTCTTCGTTTTCTTCCAAGGCATGCGCAACAATATCAACAGTAACCCCCTTGCACGGGTAACGGAGCATAAATACCTAGGAGTTACATTCACCACCAATTACAGATGGGAATCGCATGTTACAACATCACTTCTTCAGCATTGAAACGTCTGTTTATTCTCCGACAACGACTGCGACAGGCCTCACCTCACGTAAAGCTATTGGCCTACACGACGTATGTCTGGTCCGTACTTGAATACGCGAATATATTCTGGACCCCTTTTACTAAATTATTATACAATAAGTTGGAAGGTGTCCAAAGAAAAGCGGTAAGGTTTATTTTTAACCGATATGAAATGAGCGACTCTTCGACAGAGCTACTAAAACAAGCTGGCCTCTTCACCCTCGATAATAGAATCAAGGTAGCCAGATTAAAATTTGTGTATGAACTAATTCACGGTCACCTAAAATTAGAGGCCTCAGACTGTATATTCGTTGATCGAACAAGGCTAACCAGACTAAAACATCCCCAAAGGCTAACAGAATACTGGTTCAACGTTGACTGTTTGCAGTGCGCTTTCTTTTCATTAGCAATAATGGAATAAAATTCTCAAGGCAACTCAATAACTGGGACTACGACTTTAACAAGGCTGGTAGAAAAGAAAATTGACACGATGTGACTATAACTTGTTATCAATGTTATATCAAGTTATATCAAATATAACTTGTTTGTAATGAAAAGGCTTTTTTTCGTAATTACTTACGCAGAGGAATGCTATACCTGTAATATCAAAGCCTGTACGTTATGTTACTTTTGTATAATTTATGCGTTCCTTGTTATACTTATTCAATGAAGAATATATATTGTGTACTACACTCCACCGACTGTGTATCCCCACATTTCTTGCAAATATCTGACATGTACTGTGTCTATGCCCTTCCTACTAGAATCCCATGAGAGATTGGCAGTATGTTTAAATAAATAAATAAATAAATAAATAAATATTGTAAAAAGAGACATCACCAGCCTCACTCGTTCAGGGAGAGGTCCATCTACAACAGCAACACCCATAGTTGGCCGAAACACCAAGAAGTGCTTTGTGACTTCTCGTTGTATTGTAACCAGCTAATTCCCCTTGAAGCAGCCGGTCCTGTTATCACCTAATGCCATAAGTTATATAAATGGTCGAAGACAACTATGGCCGGCGAGAATAAACTACGAACACCCCTAAAGTAGGCTACCGATTCGGCCGACCCTATACACGAGAAAACTGGTTGCAAATATATGGATATGAAACCACCGTTCAGCTTCTGACCAAGACGCCTTAAGTGCAAGTAGGAACATTTTTTCTCTTCATAGAAACTGAAGCTCAAACGATCTTACGTACGTTAAGCCTAGCGGAGAGAGAGAAGAGGCTGTGAAGCTTATCAAAAAGAGGTTCGCTGAGTACTTCACGCCGCGAATAAATCACGCCTATAAACATTACAAGTTTAATTTCATTGCACAAGAGGTGAAAGAAACCTTCAAGAATGACTTGTCTGCTGCAATGCTGCAGGAAAACAGGTGCAAATACGGCTCGCTGACAGAAGAGCTCCTCTGTGACCGAAATACTTTGGGTGTTAGAAATAACTTCGTAAAAGAACAACTCCTTACTGACCCAACTTTCGTGTTGGATAAAGCGATTCGCCTGTGCTGAGCCAAGGAGCAATCAGCCCAGCAAATGCAAGACATCACGACACAGAAGGCAGGAGAGTGTTCGTACCACGTGTCACACTGCCTGCGGGAAGTAGCAAGATGCACTTCTAGCTGCTTTAAATGCACTGGTTTCGGAGGAGGAGTCAGTGTTCTACAAAACGCCAGAGCATGATTCAAACGGGAACAGGTGCTTAAAGCGACTTCAGCAAGTACGGCCCAACCAACAAAAGTCTGAATAATACTCTTCCGAGAATCACTCACTCAAAGTCCAGTGTTGTTGGCACTCCGCTGTGGAAGCGTTTTGCACGTTTGCTTTTCCTGTGTGGCTCGACTAATAGGGTGATCGCAGGCACCCACGCAGAATTAGGAAGCATCGCGTTAAATAAAAAAAAAGTCATGAGGAACTAATGCAGAATGGGTTTTCCCTATTTGTGCGTATTTCACTATTGGTGGAACATGCTTATTCATAACTTCTTTGCGCAAACACGTTCACGGACACAAGGAAAAAGAGGCAAACAACACGGGCGCAAACTCACAACTGGTTTATTTTGAACAACAAACTGTATTTACATCTTCACGTAGCCCACACGCCCCCCCCCCCCCCCCCCCATCGGTGGATCCAGGAACAAACGAGATAACCTAAAGAAAGCTTATTCAGCGCTACGTCATGATAAGAACCACAAAACAACAAAAAATTGAAGCCCAACTTTCAGTACTGTTGGAACATGCTTAATTTATGGTAATAGATATGAAGACCAGACAAGGCATTGCGCTATTGTACCCATTTGAGGGATGGCTAATTGATAAAACGACATTACAATCATTTAGTTATTGTTGCACTGTGAATGGTGCTGTTGCAGTCTCTTGTTAGACAACATTGTTACTCTTTTTCGCCATGTCGGCGTAACCGAGCGTGAAATCTGGAAAGCCAGCCCCATGAGCACTGCTCGAAAGTCATTTATTTAAACTGCTGAATACACTTAATTGTGTATGTATCTGTTTCTGCGGCCAAAGTTAAGATCGCTTCCTGGTATGAGGGCATAGGATACCTCTTTTTTTTTTTGGACCTCAATAATGCCCAAAAGGACATGCTAGTGTCCTAGCCCTAATTGGGCCACTCGGTTGTCGGGATCGAAAGACCAAGTTTTTTATTAGCCACATTGCGGCCCCGTTGGACTGTTCATATATTGTTTCTCTGATGTAGGACTGCGTAAAGCTGCGTTCTACCATTCTTCAATACTTTAGTTGCCACTGCGTAACGCATAGCAACGCCAAAGTATATCAGCGATTCTTATTTCGTATTTATTACCATAAATGATGGCTAGAATAATGCCTTTGAAAGAGTGAATATGAAGCTTGATGCGTGTTTTGCTGCCCAAGCGTCCACTTGTAGTTAAAGCAATTTATGCATTTCGCAGCCTCCTATGCTTCTGAAAATACTCGTAGGTCACTTCTATCTTGGTTCCGTGGCTGCTTTTTGGTGGTGTTCCTTGTTGCATTATCATTATTTTAGCTTTTCGAGCAACATCATTTTGCAGGGGCCACTTCTGTCTTGCTTTGGTGTCAGCGCAACGTTAGCGTTCCTTCTCGTGTTATCATTCTTGTTTTTTTTTGTGCACCACCATCGGAAGAAGGCATACGAAGAATCTAAGCCTACCCTGCGGTGGCGCTGTGCCAGTTTCGCCTATACGTGAGGTTTTATCTTATCCCAAGTTAGAGGGCACTATCTGCCCAAGAAAAAAACTCTCCTTTTCCGCATATCTAGAAGGAAGTAATGGAGCACTGTAAGCAGCTTCGGTGTTGCCCTTTCACTTATAAAAACGGGTTCTCGAAGACGAGCGGTTACCGCTGCAAGTTGTTTCTGATCGCTCACCAGTGACAATGAGCATGCTTTGGCTGACAGTACTGCTACTCGCTCAACTCGCTCAAGCTCTGGAGGTAAGCTTTCACTAGTTATAAATTTTTCTGGCGTATTCAGTGCAGCTTTTCGAACGTGGTTCACATAAATAAAATGAGTAAAAACGTGAAGGTAGAAGGTAAAAGCAGTCGGCAATCTAACGGTAGCAGCTTACTTAGTCGCCGTTGTTTTGGATCATTTCGATGTATTGTACTGTCTACCAAAAAAAATATCTTCATCTAAAGACGTTTTAGGTATAATTAAACGCTCGAGATCACAAAAACGTGAATTTATTAGGCCGGAAGGAGCACGTGATCTTGCAACACGAAAATAGGGAGAAGCAATTTACGAAGTCCCACATAAAAAGTTATTTCTATGCATGATTCACTGGATGCAGTGTCCTTACAAGTCATTTAGTATGAACCGAATCCGCCCAAGCCATAGCTTTTTCGGTGCGTGATTCCCCCTAGACATAACTCATTAGATACACTATAATGGTTTCTCAGATATATTAGACATCGGCGTTTATTCAGCAGCTACTGAAGAATAGTATAGCACGTGAAACTTCGCAGAATAGTGACACTCTCCTCCTCCGCTTTAGTTTCTCCTTGCTCTCTTCTCCTTTGCACTCTATTTTCAAACGTGACGCCGCCGGCATTGCTCTTTTTCGCGGAGGGATTGCTTGCTTGCCAGGCATCGGACTGAAAGCATTCGCGACAGCCACACATCTAATTCTAACGATAAACGACTGTAATGTTTTCTTATCACAGATCTTTGTTGTGCCGCATAAAGTATGTAATAATATAGCAATGCTGGCACACCGATATGAGTTTAACAAATAAATTTACTGAGCGTGAACTTTTGCCCACAACTTGAAGTGACTGTGGTGTTAAACCTCCGAGTCATTCGAACACTTCAGCGGCTTGTCATATGCTTTCTTCTTCCCTGCGAGAAGTTCCAGCGCGTGGCGCATACGAGCTATATCCGGCCAGCTGTTCCGGCCATGGTAGTCTGCACGCTGAACTATACGGTGTACGTGCGTGTCCTGTGCGCACTGTGATGAGTGCATTATTTAAAACTCGGGAAGATGTCCCAGCCTTTCGCGAAGAGAGCACTCATTATGTCAGAGAAAGCAACAGCTCGCGGTGACGCTGTCGACGCGGGATGGCGATATTTTTAGCGTTTGGTGAGGCATGTAATAATTTTACCTTAATAATGTGCCAGAATGCGTACATAACCTGCAGTTGATACATTCGAACCGCTGTGCTTCTTTCGCCAAGTGGCTGCACGCACTGACCATAGCTTGCAGGTGGTGCTTTTAGAAGTATCTGACACGTGAGCTATATCACTAAAAGAGCCTAATAAGCTAGGTAGTAAATGAACTGGAATGTCACCGTAAGCGAGAGCTAGTCATGGATTGAAACCTTCGCGTGAACTAGCACGTCAACCGTTGTGCGAAATGGCACGTAAAAAATGAACGCACCAAACGAAATGACAGGTCATGCATGCTTTGCATAGATGCCCTCGCATCGCATGTCCTTCGGCTGAACGGCGAACGTAAAAGAGACAGAGAAAACAGCTTGTTAGAAAATACGCGAATACGCAAAAAAAAAAAACAAAAGAGGCACAAATAGGTGCCGAATATCTGAAGTTTCGCCGTCAGACTTTCAATCCTCCTTCCACGGGCAAGCTGAGCGCACAAATCAGTACTGAAACCTCAAAGAAGTCGGCGTATAACATTAAGCAGAAAAGGTAACGATGTATTTTGGACAAAATACAGACACCGCAAAGTTTAATGAAACCTGAATGAGAGATGACGATGTACCACAAAATTGTCTATCAATTGTGCGGTACATTGTCTAATTCATTGGAAAAATCGTCTAATAATTGCAGCATATCTATGGTGTTACGTCGGGCATCATATTAAGCAAACATGAACGCATTCTCTTAGCGAGAAACTCAAAAATTGTGAATTCGGGTCCAAAACGTGGGCCTGAATTTCTTACTTCCGCTTCATTGGAACCCTGTCTTTTTTCACAACTATAGTGGCACCTATAACGGGTTGTATTATGAAGAGTGTTTGGTCATCACTAAACTTGTTCTGGCATCAGAAGGCGAAACCACCCCCGATGGCAACTAAGAGTGACGTCATTATTTAGTGAAAAGTGTTTCACAGCACAATGCTCACAAAAAAAAGTTTGCATCCATAGCATGGATGCGTTGCACACCAGTAAGTCCGCGCTTCGAGAGCCGATGTAGTAGTTGAGAGCACCTGTAAACAAACAAACGCTGCGAATGGTTTGACGTGACGGCATCTGGATAATACAGACGTGGCGCCAACCTCGAAGAGGTCGAAAGAGGGAGAAACAATCCGAAACCTCCAACTACCAGGATCTTCTGCCTAGAAAATTTTCTGCGTATAAATAAATTTCTCTCGCCACCATCCCCATGGAATGGTGAGTTTTACCGTGGTAACACTGGTGTAGGCTAAACATGGCGAATTCCTAATAAAGATTTCTACTGGCAAGTATTTATAAGCTAGATGTCTTACTTGTTTGAAAACCTGGGAAAGGCTGTATTTAAAGAAATGTGAGTGTTCTAATTGAAGAAGGCCCGATCGAGGTTCGTAAATTGAGCATCCCATGAAATTGCACTGCATCACGTGAAACAGGTTACTTCAGCAACGCATTCTTCGAAAATTCTATCTGAAAAAACAAAGCGTTAACACCAGTGGGGTGTTGAATATTCACTTTTAGAATGAATGCGGAGCATTTTTTAACAACATTGGGCGATTTTCACGGGTACCCGCTTTGAGCTTTGGGTTCTACTGGTCGTTTAGATCACGTGGTGTATTCCAAAATTGCTATGGTACAACATGAGCGCATGCCAAACAGAATTGACCAGTCATGTTGCGAAAACTATGAGAGTCATATCATGAACGCCATGATTGACATGTCATGGTCTGGGCATTTTGTGGCCGTTTTCATGACTTGATATAATCCAGAATCAGTATAAACTGACGTCAGCCTAAAAGGAACAAATTTGACGGGTGCTAGGGTGCCGATTGTATCACGCATGTTCAAAATGTTCTATGTTACTAGGTCTAGTGGTGCTCACAGCCATATAACTAAATGAGTATACAGTAAAATTAGTATTACGGGACATTTCTGTATGGCGAACATATTTGACAGGTGTCAGCATAAAAATTACGTTCATGCATGGCATGAAGTACTAGCCATGCTCTTAGTTTGTTCGCGATCATTCAGCTATATGCACAAAAAAATTGTATTACTTGATATCATGATGTGGTGAACTGAAATAACAGGCGGCAAAATAAATTCAAGACACGCATGTTGTGTATTAAATGACAAAAAATCACACGAAAGGTGTGCTAGCGCAAGTTTCGATGACTTGGAATGCACCTAATTCAGACTTCAGTGATGGCACAGTACGACACAATTAAATGACGGGTGATATTGTGAAATTCGTGACATATTTACATGACACGCTTTTTATGCGTTCACGGCCATTTCTCTGGCCTTAGGCACATAAAAATTGTTATTTCGAGGTGAAATCGCAGGAAGCTCATAAATTACAGATGGTAACATAAAACTTATGAAATGCAAATCAATCTGCATATCATTTGCATGCCACGCTTATGGTGCACATATGGTCGGTTCTCAAGTTTGATATTGTAAATGACACTGTCTTGATATTGTAAATATATTGTAGTGTAAATGACACTGTCTTGGTGCAGCTGCGGTAGTTTCATTCATGAATATACATTAAGTTTTATACGGCATTATGTGAGTGTATGACGAACAGTTATCACAAGCCACGAAGTGTGCGGACCCGCGATGCTGGTCAAGGGATTTGATGCTCTGTTTCTAACCATGTCATGGCATCGAATCCCATCTGCAGCACCTGCATTTTAATAGTAATAATTACATCTGGGGGTTTTAGGAGCGACACTGTAGTGGAGGGCTCCGCTGATTTTGACCAACTGGTGCACTTGTTTTTTGATGCGCACTCACGTCACACAGTGCGCAGGATTCCACCAATCCGCCTTCACAGCAATTGAACCACCATCACATTTTCAAATACTATAGTCTTCTTTGGGGAAGTTCGACGCAAAAATTTCTGTCTCTCTGTCTGTCTGTCTGTCTGTCTGTCCATCCATTTGTCTGTTTGTTCACCTTTAATGGTACCGGGTACTCCAAATGGGAACAGCCAACACCCCAAATGGTCGACCCTATTCACAGCGCCCATTAATGTTGCTCATACTTGTGTTCATACTTGTGTGATTGCCAACTAAAAAGCAATTATTGCGCATATTTGAGGCACCATAACAACATGCATATATACTGTGTTTGCGTCTTTTATTAGAAAATGCATACATAAGTAATTCTAAGGACCGTAGCATTTATCACGCTGCGCTGATAACGTAACGCTTGCACGAAAATGATAGTGTTTTCAACGCTTTGCTATGACGACAAGGTGGTGGCACCAACCCATCGCATTGCGTTCTGCACCTTATCACCTCTGGGACGGGCACGCACGCACGTCTCAAACTTGCGCGCTTCGTTTTTCAAAAAAACTGCCAAATGGCGCTCATGTCTTACGTGTGACGTGACTTGATGTGCTCGTTCGCCTCCGCAGCATGCTTGAGGCACTCTAACGCAGTGCCTTCAGAATACCACTCACCGATTTTCTTGCGCAGAACAACAAATAAATGTTATCTTCACTCTCTTCACAAGCAAGTTTATTGTCTTTCGACGACATTTGCATAATATGATGCAGATACGGGGCCATTTATTTCAACGATAACGTTCCAATCGTTAACCTCTACAGCTACTAAAATCGAACGTTCAATAATTCATCATGAACGCTAGTCGTCTAGATGGAGATGTACCAGCTAGTTTTGACGCGACTACACTCAATTTAAACGATGCTATAGCAACCAAACCCTATTATACATAGTGCAAAAACTCCTGTATCAATGTAGAGTTAGCATTCAGCTACTGATATAAAGACTAAGTTTTTTGCGAGTCATACCTATTCTTATGGCGGAGTGATGAACCATCAGTTCTTTTTGTGACTCCGCACGGATGAGAAGGCCCTAGTTTCTGAACTATGAAAGTTGTAATCTGCTGACGAATAAGTAAGAACTGGCTTTTTTTTTCAGCTTTCATACGAGAATAACACACATGGGAAATTTCCTGGTAAGTAAGCAGCTTTTCTTTATAGCATCTGCAATAATTTTACCAGAGAAGTTCAGCCTATATGAGTAGCCTAGTGCAAGCGATTGCGCCAGGGATGTACTTATAAAAAAATTCTGAAGGAGTTCAGCTGCATTTGACAAGAAGCAATGAAGGCAGCTTCGAGCTTGTGGTGGCTAACCTAAATAAAAAGCGGGATTTCGAATTACTTTTTTTGTCTTTATTTCACTATTTCTTTCTTTTCCATTTTCTTTCTGATGTTTCTTTCAGCGCTCTTTCCTCTGTCTGTTTTCTTCCATAGAATGTGGAATATTTAAGGGGGGCAGGCTTTCGTATCCTGTTGTATCAGCAGCTGTCGTTGCTAGGCGTAACACAGGCGACACTCCTTACAGGGTACGCCCCCTGGATATTTTTTCCCTGGATATTTGCGTGCTTTAACAATCATGTTTCATTAACTCGTAATATCGCTCATCAGTAATATTGAATCGAGAGGTCGATGCACTTTCATTGTGAGCATAGCAAATGTAGAGGAAAATAAAAGGGCCTGTGGGCTCATGATGTTGCTAACTTTTGTAAATGGCCCACGTATTTTCTGCAATCCTAAACCGCTCCACAGACATAACATGAGTGAATAAAACCCACGTACGGCTTTATTCATATGGCTCAAGTTTTGCTGTGGCAACTACGTCTCAACAACTGTGATTTAGCCTAGTGAGTAGTTAGCCATGTACATCTAGTTAGCATCATTATGATCCTAACATGCTATCTTTCCACAAGCTAATATATATATATATATATATATATGTGTGTGTGTGTGTATATATATATATAAATATAATAAATATATGATGCTAGGTGTGGGAGACGTGGCCTGGCTCATACGTCATGTTTATTCCAAAAGCACTTCTTCCTCCTCGGCTTCTAACAACCATCGCTACCTTCTTACGTCACATGATTCCCCCTCCCCCAGAAGAAGTAACGTCAAACAATTAACAAAACAACAAAAACTCGGAGTGTTAAAGCGAAAATTTTCAAAATGCACCGCAGTTCTATTTCAGAAGGGAGTTCCTTCACTCGCACATAAAATGCACTGTAGTTACATTTCAGAAGAAAGTTCCTTAACTATCACATAAAATCTACAGCAGAAGGAAGCAGTCCGCTCATATATAAGAGAACTCGGGTGGGGTGGGCGAGGCTGGCTGTTGCGTCATGGGTGGCATAAACACACCCTGGAGATCTGCCCTAGTGATGACATGGGTTGAGTTCTTGTGAGGAACGGACAATGTTGGGAGTCCGTGTAGCATTTCAAGTTCGGATGTTGAAAGCGTCAAAATGTGGGTCGAGGCGGGAACAGACGGTGTGCTTCCAGTTTGCATGTGCAACGGTTGCGGCTGACGGAATGGTGTATTGGTCTCTGGATTGTACAGATGGTGCCTTCTCATCTCTTCCGTCGTTATTTGCGGTTTCGTAGCTGTAATCATAGGCGCAGTCTTGATCTATTGTGCCAAATGCATTTGTGGCGCCGATACGTCATGTGGATATGCCTCACGCCTTGAGTTTGCTTTAAGAGGCTAGCTTTGTGTTGTCGTCCTTGTTGGTTTATTCGTTGGAGTGTCTGCGATTCTTGGACATGCTGACGTTGCTGCTGTTGCATCGGAACGTGCTGACGTGGGAGCGCTTCTTGAACACCATGCCGGTTTCTTTGACAACTTGATGTGGTGTCCAGTCGGTAGCTGGTAGTCTGTGGGCTGTTGTCATCCTGTTCGGGCAGTGATGATAATGATTCAGAGTTTGATAAAAAGCTCTTGAGGGGCTTCTTCTGCACTATTCACTAAAAAGGGCTCTTGCGCTTGGCAGCGGGCGATGTTCGACACGTCTGAGCCTCCTGCTTTGCTTCGACTGCCTAGTGGGTATGCACCGGACGGTGATGCATAAGCTCGTGCGGAAAGAGCATGGCTCGACAGGATATTGTCCCGGTGCGTGAGCTCGTCTATCGTGAACACGGCGTCCTGTTGAGGCAAACGGTGAGCGTCAGGAGCGCTTGAAAAGACGCGTGATCGAAAACCGGGTGTTGGACCACGTATGCGAGACAAAAAAGAAGTGCATCAGGTGTGTAAGCAACGTCTCGTGTCGTGCGCCGGAGTGACGACTTTAAAAATACCAGCTTTCGTGAAGAGAAACATGGTGAAAGAATATGTTCTTTCAGAAATGAGCGTGGATTGTGACGGCTGAGTGTGGTTGTATGCAGGTGGTCGGTAATAAGGTAGTCCTTGTCGTAGTCGTGAAAACAGGCAATCATCTCTTCTCTGATTTTTTGCCGTGATTCATCTTTTCTGAACACGTGTGTCAGGTAAAACCTAAATGCCTCACCGGAGATGTACTCAGTGAAGTTGGCGATCATCTCCCGTTCCGACCATGATGCAGCAGTGTCGTGGAGCTCAAATAGGTTGAACCAGTCCTGTACGGGCTCGTCGTCTACTGATCCGGTGTACTTGGGAATGTCAAGGTCAGCTGATGGTGCTGTCAGGACGCTGGTCATGGTGTAGAGTTGAGATACACTTGTGTGGTCCACCTTCGTTTACTGCGTCTTGCTGAGGGGTTCGATGATGATGGCCGGTTGATGAAGTAACTACCAGGTCTTCATTCTGCCGACTCGTGTGACGCTAGGTGTGGGAGACGTGACCTGGCTTATACGCCATGTTTATTCGAAAAGGACTTCTTCCTCCTCGGCTTCGACCAACCATCGCTTCCTTCTTACAATACACACACACACACACACACACATATATATATATATATATATATATATATATATATATATATATAATATATATATATATATGTATATATATGTATATATATATATGTATATATGTATATATATGCTAACTTTTCACGTTGCCAAGTTTACTTGTGGTTAGAAGAGAACTGTACAACTATATTCTCACGAAACCAAGACGATGCTCTTGTTTCCCGCAGTAGAGTGTTGCAGAAACGTGATGTAACTTCACGGTGATTGAAAGAACAAAGATTGAATAAGACTGTTGCTTTTCAGATTTAATGAAGATACGCCTAATCTCGTCGGCGGGTAGGCCCATCGTAATGTCATGGCGTCGACAGAATGAAACCATTGATTTCTACAAGCTGATCATTCATCAACTTCACCCAGTAAGCAGTGCACAGCATGAAGACCACGTCGTTGGATCATGTGCCATATTAAGCATCCGCAACCAATTCACAATTTATGACTGCCCGACTGTCCCAGTGTGCACCGAAGTTGTCCTCATTGTAGGGGCGTACAGATTTCATGAGCAAGAAATGGTTTTCCCTGTTACTGCTATGATGGGCCTGTTTGCTCCTGGCCGAGGTAAGTTGCCTTCTTTCATTGCCCTTTCCAGAGCTTAAACTAAGGTGCATGCTAAGAAACACCAGAAGGTAAAACTTTCTGAAGCTATGCACTACGCGTCTCTCATAATTGTATGTTTTTATTCTTGATATAGCCTTTCAATCAATGCTGAATGCTGAATAACGAACCCTAAGGGGTTCATTACAACAGCGGATGTTTCTAAATACTTAGGTGTATCGTTTTCGGTTGATCACGCAATGCGCTTTTCAGTGTGCTAATAACGCTGTGTGGGCGCTAACCTAAGATGCCACGAGAGATAATTAAAACGCAATGCGTTTATTACAGGTATAAAACCACCATTTGTGCATGCCTGTCCAGTATGGGACCTATTAGAAGCCACTCTGACTTCTCTGTTAGAAAGTATTCAAAACAGAACGACCAGGTAAATTCTGGGCAGCTAACGTATAGCAGACAGTATCACAATGATGAAACAAAAACTGGATTGGGAGCTATCTTTGTGCTAACGGAAGTTAAAGCTGAAAGTGCGTTTTTTTTTTTCAAATATAAAACAGATCAGGCATAAACAAGGACTCCTATTCAAAGACACTTTTTATTTATATTTTTGAACGTAACGATCACAAACTCAAAATCTCCTATTACAATGGCCAGGACGTGCATGTTCGCTAATTCTTTTTTTCTGGAGAGTGTAGGAGAATGGAATGACTCTCCGAAAAAAGGAGTACGTTGTTCAAATCAAGACTTATTTGTATCCCTGTTGTAAACCATATTTATGTAACGTCCAAGGGTAATATGGGGTAATTTGTCATTAAAGATGAAAGAATAACAAAGCGAAGTCAACGAGAAGTCCTAGAAGGGCGTGCCGCCATAGCTTAAGCTCTTCGCCATCACCAAGAGGCCTCAGAAGCAAAGGATGCTGTAATGCAATATAGGCGTCACCACGAGAGGGCCTCTGCCGTTATGAACTCAGGTTGGTCGGTTGTGCAACGTAAAAACGAACGATAGGGTAGTGCGTGCTGTCCTACTTCCAAAAAAGGTTGATAAATGGCATAGGTGATACCACGTGGAAAGCCAAACTTCAAGCGCCGTTAACTTTGCTAAAACAGGAAGCTGCATCCAGAATTAGCATTAGCAAATACCGTATTCGTAAGTGTATATTTAACAGGAATGTGTCATTGCCGGGAACCACTATGACTCAAATGGCATAGTCTCGTCACGGATATGACGTCGTCAAATACACAATACTAGATGAGAAAACGAGAAAAAAAACAATAAATTATTTCTTCGCCAGCAGTAGAACCTTCCATTCTTCGCTACAGAGCGCTGTGCGGATCAACTCGGCTGCAAAGCGTACGTCCATCAGCTTTCTAGTGGTGTGGTATTCATATACATCATGTACCATGGTGAGCAATGGGAGTTCGTAGGTGCGAGCGTGTGTCGAATAGCTTCTAGTTCTACATGGGCTGATCTGCAGCGGCTGCCGTTGGACACGAAGTGGAATGAGCACCGTGCTTTCCGCAAGCTCTTCGCACTCCCACCTTATATATGGAGTTTTAGAATAGCGCACCGCAAGCCCTTGCGAGACGGTGACTGCCAATGCGTATGCATCGTAACGCGAGTCACCGTTCACGGCCCACCCGCAGAACATCCGAAATAGCGTGCAACAATCGCGGTCTGTGAAGCCCGCGAAGTGCTGCCTTCAGCATCCGTGCATTAGAGTTCGCGGTAGGGGCCAAAGTCCCAAAATTTTTTCCTAGGTTGAGCGAACCCTGTTCTGAAACTCATAATGCGTCCGCTATGCACGCCACGCCCACAGTGCATGCAAACGTTATTTAAAACACCCCGTTGATTTTGTGAAACGCAGCTTTTTGCGTGTCTCGATGCCTGCTATCGGTGATAGCAGCTGGCATCAGTACGCATAGCCACAACCGATGACCTAGCAGGTTACGCAGCTACAAAGATATTGGCTGCTGCGTAGCTTGTTCTGATGATGCACCAACCATCCTTTTATTATATGTATAGGTGGTGTTCGGGAAGGATTTTCATAGGCATATCACGCTTATTTTTTTTTTTGGTGTGTTTCACTTTCGTCGTAACATTGCTAGTGGCCGATTGCACGCTATCAGCTGCCGTTTCAGAGTAATCAAGCTCCGGGAGTGCCAACAGTCAGCGGAAGAGCATTCTCTTTCCCCCTCTGGTTTTGGCAGCGCCATCTACGTATTCCGTTATCTCAGTTTTGAGGCCATTTTCTGCGTGCTCATGTGTTCGGGCTCGTATTGCTCGGGATAGTACGTTAGTGGTACTCGAAGATCGGTATCTTCTCGTTCTTGTTATCACTGAAGAAATGACTCAAAGGGTGCGCCTAAAAGTGGTCGCCACCCACATTGTGACGCTTGCGCGCCTCAACAGGACGTGATGGCTCGTGCACGCATGTTGATCTCGTTATATAGATGCTTTGCACGCCGTTTTCATTGCAAGTGTGCGGTGAAGATACAGAGCGCACGAAGGGTATTTCGCTCACTGCACTGACCACGACTTTACAAAAATAAACTTGCTTGCCGAACACAAACTAGCAATTGGTAAAATGTGTAATTCGTGCTCATCCTGTGTGTGTTCTTTTTGTGCTTCTTTTCTGTTTGAAGAACGCGCTCAAAGATTTCTGGTGCTTGCAGCTATTCAAGTGAACTTGAAACCTGTTGGTGTAAGATTTATTCCACCTTGATGCCAAACATGCTAAAGTGGCAAAATTCACTTTTATGTTGTACCAATTCCTATGACAGAGTGATTAGGGACGTTTTTTTTTTTGCCAAGACATTTTGACGCTACCTAGAAATACGGAAGAACACTATTGAAAATTCACTTGAAATATCTATATAGCCCCTGCCTCTAACAGATTTGTTGCAAAAGTCCAAAGGCTGTTTTTGTTGGAAACTATGAGTATGTCGTTATATATGCGACTGTAAACGATATATGATTTATCACTTATGAGATGCCAGGTCTCTTCGGAGCGAATGGGACATTGTTTAGTCAAAAAGAGAGTGAGAGAAACGAGAAAAAAGGAAGGCAGGGAGGTTAACCAGATGCTAGTATCCGGTATGCTACCCTACACTGGGGTTGGGGAATAGGGGTTGAAAGAGAAAGGGAGAGTAAAAATTAAATAAGAGAAAAGCACCGACACACACGCACGCACAAAATCAGTCCACTCAGAGGCGTTCTGACAGGCCAGTAGTTCGCAAGAAGCCCAGTAGCGCTTGCAGGGCTTTCTTCTGTGACGATGAGTCATGACAATGGCGCAGTATACTTTCTTCTGACAGCGCTTGGTGATATAACCTATTTAGTTGATTAGAAAGGTGTTGTCTTTCCAGGTTGTATTTCGGGCAGTCACACAGGATATGTCGAATGGTTTCTTCATCTCCGCAGTGTTCACAGTCGGCGGTGTCGGCCATACCTATGCGGAACGCGTACGCACGGGTAAATGCGACTCCCAACCATAGTCTGCACAGAGCAGCAGCGTCGCCTCGTCGAATTTTTGTTGGAAGCTGTATGTTTAACGTTGGATCAAGGGATCGTAATATTGCATGCGTAAAGAGAGGTTCATTCCAAAGAGTCATGAAGCGTTGGCGAGCAAGCATGCGGAGCCTCCTAGCAGCGTCCGTCCTTGAGAGAGGTATTGACTGGTCGTTGTCTTCTGTATGGGCTGAACGGGCAGCCTGATCAGCTCGTTGGTTACCGATAATTCCACAGTGGCTCGGCAACCACTGAAATATAACGTGGTGGCCTTTCTCTGTTATATGGTGTAGCGTTTCTGCTGTTTCAAATACCAACTGCTCGTGTGGACCACGGCCTAGATTTGACATAAGTGACTGCAGTGCCGCCTTGCAGTCGCAGAAAATCGTCCACCGACGGGTGCTTTGGTCGTTAAGGAAAGCAGCTCAGCGCGAAGCGCTGCAAGCTCTGCTGCCGTTGTTGGGGTTGCATGAGCTGTCCTGAATTTGATGGTTGTGGCGTGCGTTGGAATAACGACCGCCGCAGTTGAGCTGTTTGGCAGCACGGTGTCGTCGGTGTAGACGTGGGTGCAGTCTTGGTACTTCTCGTACAGCAGAAGTAAGGCGAGCTGCTTGAGGGCTGGTATTGAGAAATCTCGTTTTTTCTGGATGCCTGGTATTGTCAGGTTGGTGACTGGCTGTTTGAGGCACCACGGAGGAATTGAAGGTCGCACCGCGGGCGTAAAACCAGTTCGTAGGGAGTGACCATGTGTAGCTAATGTTCGACAAAAAGTAGTATGAGGTCTAGCCACTGGTAGAGAGGCTAGATGGTGATGGGGGAGTCCGGCCCACATGCCTTATGTGTGTCCTCAAAGCTTCAATTTCAATAAGGGTCTGCACGAGGTGGTCTTTGGCTATAGCTATAGTCGCCATTGTTGAGGCCCCCTTGAGGCAGACCTAGACATATTCAAAGCGCCTATGCCTGAACGCTTCGTATCATGCGTCGAATTGTTTTGCTGGCGTTTGATAATGCAGGCAGACTGTATCGTAAAAAGCCAAGGAAAAGCGCCCTGCACAGTCGTAACATAGCATGAGGCTGCATTGCCCAAGTCTTTCCAGCGAGAAACTTGAAAAGATGGCATGTGCCTGTCAATCGCTTTTTCAAATACGACACTTGAGGGCTCCATGATATTTCTCTGTTGACTATGGCACCCAGAAATTTGTGAGATCGACGATATGGTATACTTTGGCCGTTAAAAGACACTCTGTAATTTGACATGGGTTTGTGCGTAAATGCCAGAAGAGCGCACTTTTCGGAGGAAATTTCCAGGCTTCTATTGCGTATGCAAAGCAGTTGCAGTAGCAGCTCTGTATTCTCGCTCACAACTGCAGGCGAGTTACCGCAGATGTCTAGATTCAGATGTCATCAGTGTATCTTGATAGATAAATATTGTTTGGTAGGCGCGTACGGAGAGCGATTAGTGTTATATTGAATAGCACGGGGCTCAGTACACCACT